ATATATACTATACATATATATATATATATATATATATATATCCATACGCGCACACATACACCCACTTATATCAGATATATGTTACCGTCTATGCTGGAAAATAGTTTCTGCAATTAAATTAGCTTCAGACAAACAGCTTACAAATCTTTTTATATGAAAGCACCTTGTCTTTTTTTAAATTTAAGAATACCTTCCACTAAAATTGTAGCACTTTCAAATAATAAAAATGTGCACTACTTAATTATGACTTTTATACATGTGTAATTACGAATGGAATTGTATCATAATAAATGAATACTGGAATTTTGAACATTTATTCATGTTTTCTTTATATCGTTCTAACTGCAAAAAATCTTCAGAAATTATGAATCTACGTTTCAAATGGACAGCAACTGCCTGTTGCAGAAACCTACAAATGTAGAGGACAACGTTTCGAAAGTCTTCCGCCTTTCATCTTCAGGTCAGTGTGTGTGGTAAAGTTTGGTCTTTATAGTGTTCTAGTGGATTGTGGAGAGTGTGTTACGATTGGTTGGTTAAAACACGTTTCTGATTGGAGGAGAGACTTCCTGTAGCCTCAACCAATCCACAGAACACTATAAAGACCAAACTACACCCCACAAACACGCTGACCTGAAAACGAAAGGCGGAAGACTTTCGAAACGTCGCCCTCTACATTTGTAGGTTTCTACAACAGACAGTTGCTGTCCATTTGAAACTTAGATTCATTATGAATACTCTGCCTAAACAACCTATCAAAGACTACCTTCAGAAATTAGTTTCTTTCACATGCTTTCACATATTTATAAGTTATAAATAATATGTTTCTCAATGTCATCAAATACAGTGTTTCATCATTTTAAGACTCCAAAACACACACTTTCCCTACTAGGAAAAATAATGTGTGAAAAATTCACTCAATTCATAATTATATATTTAATTTTAAAAAATGCAAACATTTAAAGACTTCAAGATACCAAATCAATAGAGAAATAATTCTGTACTCATATTGCATGAATCTCCTAAACTGTTCGTACTGTGAAGATTCTTCTAAGTAAACCAAGTAAAAAATTTAGGAATATATATACAAGATAACTTATAAGCTAATTATTATTCTCACCTTAATTAAGACTTAATTACTAGGAATAGAAAAATTTCACATTAATTTTCTTCCTAAAACTACATGGAAACCTTTTAAATATGCAGAGAAGTAAAAAGATAATTACAAGTGGTAACACGCATCATAGTGCACCATTTTCTATACTAAAAATATAATGTATGGTCAGCCGTTGTTTACAAGATTTTGAAACCTGCTACAAAATGTCTTTTTGTAATTGCCCAAATACAGTGTACTCTGAGTTATATACATAAATTTCAAATTTTAAGATTAAAAATATAATTGAAGCAAAGTCTTTCAACTTACATGATAGCAACATGCTTGTTTCTTGAAGCTATTGTCATACTTCATCTGGATAACTGTTTACATTTGACATCTTGTACAACTGATAATGACCAGCTTGAATATGAATAAATGTTGAAAAAGGTCTGCCTACTCGAAATTTGAGTTTAGGGCTGATGCAATAAACAGTATAGTAATAATTTACATATTTGATAAATAATATAAAGGACTTTACAGGCTTTTTAATTCTAACTTCCTCAATGGTTCATTCTCACAAATTTACTCTTTCAAGATTTTCTCCTGTAAATTATAATTGGAAATAGTTTTGTACAACCAATCTTGTTAAACATTTTTATTGCAGGAAAGCCAAATGTTATGATAATAAAAGAAATCATTATATTTGCTGGTTGTCTATTGACTTTGTTTATACAAGTAAATTTGAAGTTTTATATACTTAACTCTAAAGGATAGTCTTTATAAAAAATTTATGGTTTAATGGTTATAAGTTGACATAAAATATTTGAATAATATGAAAAAAAGAGAATTTAATATTTATGGTTTTACAAAAATAATCTGGGAGAAAATTTATTATCCATTTTAAGAAATTCTCTACAATAAAATGTTTAAGTAATATTTACATCAGTTTTCATAATGAATAAACAGCAACAAAATTTTAATAATGGACAAAGTCAAAAAGTAAATCTAACTCGCAATTATTAGTCTTTATTACATTATTTAAGTAATATTGACCATCATTTGCTATATTGTTATATTCCATATTTAGTATATATGAACATATTAATAATGAAGGTTGATTTAAACTTTTAGATTTATTTATGTAAATTAAATAATACCAGATTCCCTCACACCTGAATTTTTGTACATATTCAAAAATATGAAGCAATAATTTTCAGGACTGGATAACAACTACCTTACCCAAAGCACAAAAACTAGGTATTCTAAATATTAACAATTTAAACATATTTAATAACATAGAATTAAGGTTGCAATTACAAATTTATTAATTTATAAAATTAACAAAAGTAAAATGTGTACTTTTCAATGATAAATATTTAAAAAAAAGTAAAATATAAAATTTCAACTTGGTGAGAGCTTGTATGATACATTAATCAACTGTAAAATCCCGGCAAGTGAAGATAAAACTCCTAAAATTCCTACAGTTGCCGGTGAAAATTTCACAATTTTTAAGTTGGTTAGTGGAATCCAAAAATCACATCCATTCTTTATGAGTTCAACAGTTACTGATCGGTGGTAAATCATCCAGTTTAGAAGAGCTTGTAATAAAACACTCCATGAACTTCTGGCATAAGGAAAAACAGAAGACACAGAAACAGCACAAGTTTGCGAGCCCTGGATTTGTAATAAGGTTAAAATTTCGTACATATCTCGCACCAAGTTCATAACTAGAGAATATAACCAAAACCTATTGCTCAATTTGGACCACTTATCCTTACTGACATTAGCAATTCCAGCTTGCCCAAGCCATAATACATGATCTGCCAGTAAGTATAGTGCTAAATTGATACGAGAAAATGTGATGGTTATACGCAATATCTGGTCAGGAATGTTAATAGTTGACAACGCACTGTAGAAGACATCAAGGCTTCGACCAAATCGAAACACTGGAAAAAAAAAAAAAAATAGAATTAACATTTATAACTGGCGAGTTTTTTTTTGTTTATGTGATCTATCATAGGTTTATGCTCATCATTATGTACATGAATTAAAAGAAAATAAACTTATGTGCAGTTAAGCATTATTTTACATAAACACAAAAGATTAAGCAATAATCTATTTATTTTTCAAGCTGTACTAATATTCATATTAAAAACTTTCAAATTCTTGTAGACCTTATACAACTTTCTTTTTATAAATAAGTTTTTATCTTTGCACGTCACTATGTGTATTGTTTCAAATATGTAATTTCATTATTTCGTATATATTTTTTTGTCAAACTTCTACAGAACTTGGTGATTTGTTAAGTAAAATACTTAAATGTAAATCTTTGATTGAAAGATGCAATATGATTGTAAACAATGTTATTAAATTAAGTTAATTTGTAATAAAATATTTTATTAATTTTTGCTGATTTTATACACAAAAAACATTAATAATGATTTCTTACAATTGGAACATAGTCTGAAACATACCATGAAAAAAAAACCACTACTACAGAGTTTCATTAACATATTTTTCAGAACTACATGAAAGAAGCAAATATTTAATTTTACTCCATTAAAATTGTGGAAACATCTTTAAGTTCATTTTTGACAAAAAAAAAAAAAAAAAAGAACATACACAACAGCATTTCACTTTTATCAAAATACAATTATGATTTTTTGTTTGTTATACAGATGAAAATTGACTACAATGGGCTGAATAACCTTCTATTTTCTTAGGTTTTATGTTCTTATGGTTTATTGTTATACAAACCAACTTAAGGAGGGTAGGGAGATACCTCTGTCCATTCTTTCCCAAATATAACTTTGGGAGACACGTTGGTTCTTTGTTTCTCATACAAGCACTTATATTACAAATATCCCTTTGTTATTTGGTGGAGGTCAGGAGGTTACTACTTACATTTTCTGGCTGTGCTAAAGGTGTACTCAAGGTTCTTTAATCTGAAAACCACTTCCTTTTCATGAGAGTATTTTTCCATCAAAGCCCATAACATTCTTGTACCATACTGGACTAACCTGAAAATATAAAATTAGCTAGTGTATATCTATTTTGTTACTAACACTACTAGTAGTAGAATAATAGTAACTGGTCTTATTCTTGAATCTAATGCATTAATCTTTAAATCTGAAATACTCATCTTTAAAATCAATATTTAACTTTTTATACTCTAAATCTTGTATTTTCAAACACCTTTTTACACTAGCTACCTACCAATCTCCATCACCACTATACAAGTTTAGTTAACAACCTTTAACAAATTTCTGGTCTACTTAAGTGGGGCCCATCTCTAGCATATAACTTACACTTACCCTGAAAACTATCCCAAAGGATCAACCAGCTCACCTTTTGCTTTAAGCATATAACCCTGATAACCTATGGTTTAAGCATACTGAGTAATTCATTCCTAAATCTAGCCTGAGAGAATACTCCCTAAAAGGCCACACACATCTATTTCTATATCCTAAACCTCTGAAGGAGTAGTATATCAAATATGCAGTTTTGGTGCCCTTTGCCCATCTTAAAGGAAAACTGTTAAAATTAGGGTAGAGATGAGCTAGCTACTAGAATATCTTAAGTAATTTAGGCTACAAAAAAAAAAAGCTTAAAATTTCTAATTTTTTTCTTGAACTGACTATGGAAGAATTAAGTGTGATGTGAATCAGGTGTTAATGACTATTGGAGGTTCTGGCATCCTTAAATTCCTAATGGTGGTACGTTTAAGCAGTAAAATTAAAAGATGGGTAAAATTTGAATGTCAGACACGGTATAGTGTCAAACTTGTCCAATGAAAAATAAAATTTTGGATATATAAATATTTGTAATTAATTGTCCAATGATGTAGTGTGTTAGCCCTAATTATTTTTCCTCTTAATGAGTATGTGAATTTTATTCTGGTACATACATGTGAAGATCTACATATATCTTAGCTTTTATTTATGTTTTGGTGAATGAGAAGCAACCTCAATGGATTAAATGGCTCTCTCACCTTGCTCATTTTGTGATTTTATGAACTGTGATCTTCTTAAAACTTTGCTGTTTATTTTTCAAATTTACTTGTACTTTTCCAAGTTATCTATAACAGTATAAAATTTAAAACAGGTTTCAACAACAAACGTAAAATGTGATGGGCTTATAAGTTTAAATATAACTTACATTTTTTTTTCATCATTGGTTTACTGACAATGACACTATAGTTTTTAAAATTTTAACAGTAACAGTCCTTCATCAGGAATTTCTCTACCGTTTGTAAAGCTTAAAAATGTTAGTGGGCCTAAAAGTAAAATTAATCATTCTATATAAATTGCTTATTTATAACTTTCAATATAATTATGATATGTTTCAATAAGTTGAGGATTTATTATTTTGAATTCACACGCATGTGACTAAACTAAAGTCTAAAGTTAGTAATGACAGTAAGTAAAGTAAAACGGTAAATTAATTCATTGTTCAATTAAGATTAAAAGTAATAAGATTTGCATATTATAACTTTTTACGTAATATAACTTAAACTATAATAACAATCAACAATGCCTATCTTATAACAGAAATTTTAAGCCTATTAATAAATTAATTTCCTCAAAGTCTCGTTACAATCGAAATTTAATAATTTCTTCAACTCAGTTAAGTTCCACTGTTCGTGTTTGAAAACAATTTTTATTTTTTAAACATACCTCAACAGTTTCTCTCTCCCTGCGGTTTGGGAATTAAACTTTACTAAATTTCCCAATATATCTGAAGACATAGATGATTTTGATGCCATATTAATTATTTTTTCCTTCTAGAAGAAATACACGATTCTTTTTAAGTTATGAAAATCTAGTTACAACCAGGAAAATTTGGCTCATTTTCACGTCACGTATTACAGTAAGTTAAATGTACACTACTAGATGCCCCCGCAAGCGCACACCACAATTTGAGCTCACTCCAGAATAGTAAGAAAAATATCAATAGAAAAAATAAACAAGTATAATTAAAAAAATTATAATTTTATAAAATCAAGTAGGGATCGATGTATACGTAATCTACCTAGCTATAGTAATATAGAGCTTCTAATGCTACAAAAACTATTGAAACAAGTCAAGCAAAACTGAGTTACTTACTTGAAAGTAAAAAAAAAAAATATCTCTACTTTGGCTCAGACTAACTTTATTACAGTGTTCCAAAGTGGGCATAATTTTTTTTTTAATTCTAAGTAACTCAGTTTTTGTGGTTTTGATTTCTCTTGTTTCAATACTTTTTGTAGCATTAAACTTTTCTATATTACTATGGCTAGCTAGGTTACGTGTATATCGATCCCTACTTGTCTTTATAAAATGTTTTGCAATACTTTTTTGTTTCCTTTTTATTAGCTATATTTTTGTGCGCCAGCAATACCAAGTGTGGGGCGCGCGTATAACCAATTCAATTTTTATCGCTCATCAGGATCTCTACTAACCTACCCTCAAATCTAATTATATGCCTAAAGTAGCGCATCATCCGTTTTATATATATTAGTATCCTTTTCGGTAAAAGAAAGGAATTATTGCGACCCACAGAGAAAAAAAAAAAGTTCAGTGAAAGATTTAGAGCGATAAGGTTCGCCATTTTTTTTCTGTACGCTTGTCTGTAAAAGTCACTTATTTACTTAGATGAAAATTCGTTGAAATAGGAACTTTGATTCACTCCATAAACACGTATATAGCGATTTAGGCGGCTTTATTAATACAATGAGCTTTAGTTTTGCTCAGCCAATACTGTGAAATAGTCATTGCTAATATTCAGACATTTCATAGATGATTTTAAACGGGCGGTTTTTATGGCCGCCATTTTGTTTCATCACGATCCCTACTATAAAGTACTATGTGATAAAGATAACATAACGTAGCTATAATACGAAAGAAAATGATAAAAACAGTATAACCTGAGCGCTTTGGAAATGTGGACCTTTCTTCGGGGTCAAACCGTTTCTCCTGAAGAAGAAAGGTCCACCTTTCGAAAGCGCTCGGGTTATAGGGTTTTATCATTTTGTATCAAGACTTCTTGAACCTACGTGTTTTTCTGACATCATACCTATAATACGAAACGTTACACAATTACTGACTTATGCAAGAAATTACTTTTTCTTCTTTAGAATCACAAACTCTCTGAAGAACATTTTAACTTTTGCTTCACAAAACAGAATAGTGAATCTAATATGCAGACGAGCAGATGTAGTAAATTCTGCAGGTGAAATGGAAGAGACATGAGTCACAAGACACGATTTTGGAGTCAAAATAATAATAGAGCAATTTATTTTTATACACGTATGAAATTTAGGTACACAGGTTATCATCTGAGTGGTTATGCCTATTGTTGATAAAATGATTGTAGGTAAACTAGGAATGTTAAACACTAGTAGTAGTACACATGATAAAGTCTAGATATAGCAATAACAGGAACAGATCACCAACAACAATCCTTGGCATTCTCGGAAAAACGTAAAATGTACGCAATTTTTCGAAGACAGAGTGGATCCTGCCGAAATTTCATGCACGCCATTTTTTTGTATGGCTGACTGATCAATTAAATAAAAAGTAATGGCAGGTGAAAATATCTCTTGCTCCACGCAACAGTCGCAAGGTATGCTACAGTATAAGGTCAAACAGGAACAATACTACTATGTCATTAATATTTACTTCCAATCAGAGTAATTAATCCACTTACAACGAATCTACGAAAAAAGACAACAAAAATATTAACATGGTTGTAAGTATAGCTAATTAGATATACTTTTCTTAAGTTCTTCCTTAAGATTAGAATACATTGTTTCATCAGTTAGATATTCTAGCTGTTAACGATACATTCAGTCGTAAACTCAATATCTCACGAGGTTTGGCCATCTTAAGAGATTTGGGATAATCTTAAATACATAAAGCTAATATTATATTAATAATAATACAAACGATCTTTATAATAAGAGCATAATAGTTATCAGAGCAAAAATAATAAAAGTTGGTATATTCAACATTTCAATCGACACTTTTAATGAAAGAAACATGAGAGTATACTTAACAGAATACACTAACACCACCTGTTGATAATTAAGTTCCTTGGCTGCATGGTCAAGCTAGAGAGATGCACACCTATGGCTGAATTTTGCACATGTTCTTAACTAGATTGAGTATGTCCCAAAATTAGAACTTTGAAAAATTTAAGAATTTTGCAGATAATAAATACATACTATAGGAGACTAAGACATGTTGCATTTGTTCTTAATAGATCCACTACTAATCCAACTCTTCTTGCACAATATCTTGCAACATTTTCCTTTACATTTAAAAGTGTGTTCCAATTTAGTCCTATGACCACTCCTTTATTGTGTCCAACATCTCATGCCCTCTATTATAGCTTGCCTTCAAGTTGAACCACATTTTCTGGTAATCTAAACTCTTTGGTCCACTCCCTTAAAATTCCTACAGCTGTACTATACTACTCCTTATTGGTGGGAAACTATTTTTGCAAGGACAACTTTCAATTTTCCACTTGTGTGTTGTTATGCATCTATACCCAGACTACCAGTTACTGCTCTTAAGTTGACTATCACTACTTTACATTTAAAAGTGTGTTCCAATTTAGTCCTATGACCACTCCTTTATTGTGTCCAACATCTCATGCCCTCTATTATAGCTTGCCTTCAAGTTGAACCACATTTTCTGGTAATCTAAACTCTTTGGTCCACTCCCTTAAAATTCCTACAGCTGTGCTATACTACTCCTTATTGGTGGGAAACTATTTTTGCAAGGACAACTTTCAATTTTCCACTTGTGTGTTGTTATGCATCTATACCCAGACTACCAGTTACTGCTCTTAAGTTGACTATCACTACTGTAGTACTGATACATTCGGTTCCAATTCTTAAACATGAGCTAATATTTCCTCGAAGCACCAAACTCAGAGCAGGCACCATCAGACAACTACTATATTATCTTGATCTTTCCTTGAAAATGAAAATTGGTTTTTGCCAGCTACACCAATAATTGAGTTGGTTCATGTTTGTTTCCTGTTGGTGTTGCAGGCTCAGGTCATTGCTCCTAGGGGAATTTGTACTATCACTATTCAAATTTAGTAGTAAGTGACATAGCATCAACAAGTATGGCAGAATCTACTGTTTCCATGTGAAGCTGCATCTGTTTGAGTATCCCTTTAAAAAACATATTTACTCTAACCTTGGGAAAGTACAAGCAAATGAAATTTGATGTGAAATCTTCATGGTTTGTTAGTTTCAGCTTGAATTTGTCCCCTTTACATCATGGAGTGTGATTAATAATTTCTACTCTTACTCTTAGAGATTGTTTTATTGGGGAATCATATAATTCAAACCAGATTTAGTAGAGATATTTTAATAAATACCTATTAGTAGTATCTATCTGCCATAATGGTTCCATCACTGGAATAACCAGACACTGAAAACTGTTGTATTTCTACAACATTAGAAGATATTATGATGCCCATACCCATGAAAGGATGAACTCCATTTAAGAGTTGGTATAAATGACTTAATTTTTTTGTACCTCACTGAATATACTGCTTGTGAGCCACAGCAGAATCTCCCTCTATTACAAGTTCTCATCTTTTAAGCATTTCATTTTTTGCAAGTTCAACTTTGGGTAACTGCTCATAATCCTCTAACAGAACTTCTTTTGGGGGAAAACAAGCAGCAACAATGTCATTCAGCTCTTTACTGGTTACCTTATATATTTTATGGACAGATCAGACTTAACCTATGTTGATGAATTTTTCTGACAAATGTTGATACTTCTTGTTTCAAGCCATTTGAGCATTTACTTACCAACAAGTTTAAAAAGGTCACAAGTTATTTCTCTTCACAAAAAATAAGCTTTAATTCCAGGATGCTGTTTTTATCTATAACTGACAAGGTTAGATAATACTTTGTGTGTTATACTTGAATATGAAAAGTGAAGTGTAAAAAGAAGACACTGAGAAAACAGAGTTGAGTGAGTTAAATAAATGCTGATGTTTCAAGTTGGTTATCATGAACAGACTACTACCCCTAAGATAACTGTAATAGATAACTGGTTACTTGGGGGATCAAAATTTTAGCTAAGAAGTCAGACATCCACGAATGCACTTTACTGAGAGGACAGAAGAAATGAAACAAAGAAAAGTCAACAAATGTGCTGAGGGAATCCCATTTACATATCTTGAAAATGGCACCAGTGGAAATGTGTTTCTGACATAGTAAGGACTAGTTAAAAAGCCTCTTCGTTAAGTGTAAGATATTTAAAAGCTTGAAATGGCAACAGGAAGACAAACACCACAAATCACATACTGACAGTGCTGCAACAGGTTTAGTGATACACATTTATAACAAATAATTGTTTCACTAGTTCTGTTCAGCTTCCTTGTATTCAGAAATGTATTTGAATAAGTCTCATAAAAAAGCAGCAGAAATAACTTGAGAATAAAAAGTGAAAAAAAAACTACTCATAACCTGATGCCAAAATAATTTTATAGGGCTCTAGAGAAGAAAATAAAAACAATAGGAATTTTGTGTCCATTTGTTTTTTAGAATACTTGACTGAGTTATTATGTACATAAAAAAAAAGACAGTTTCGAACCACATAAGCCAATACACATGTATCGTATAAAATATGAGCAACAAATTAGTAGATCAATAAAGCTTTACAAATGCGTCATACTTTACTAGTGTTTAATTATATTAAAAGTTCTCAACTAATGATGCTATCTCACTGATTTGTATTGGTATCAGGAGTAATCTGAACACTAATTCATATGTCTGTTGTCAGCAGTTGTCAAAATTTTCACTTCACACAGAAGAAACTCACTTTAGGTTTGTGATCAATTTTGCAACCTAATATATATCATGAATCTAGTCTTAGCAGTGAACTCAAAAAACCAATTAAAACTTTCATGTAATGATCCAAGTTAAACATTTTAGAAAACGTTTAGTTGAAATTGATGTTTTTCTCTTAAATCTGCTGATTCTGTAATTCAGTGCTTTTTTCATTTCAGCAAGAACTAGTGTTGAAAAAATAACGTTTCTCTTCACATTCTACACAGAAAAATGTGCTTTTAATAAAGTTGATGAAATGTGCATGTTAAATACTCTTGATAATTTTGTGAAAAAATAGGCTTTTGTGTTTTAATCAAGTACATCAGTACACTCCTGATGCAAATAATAGAGTTGACTGCACCTAGTTTTAGGTAGATGAAACTAGTAGAAACTGAAGACTTACAGTAATTTATTCTGCAACATGCCAATAACTATGTATTTAGTGATCAAAACATAATGAAAGGTAAGGGATGCAATGATGCATGCAAGGTTAGTGAAGTGCCACAATGGTTGGGAATTTACCAGTTGATTAACAGACAGGCTTGTCGACAAGGGGGGGGGGAACTGCCCAGGGGCCCGGGCAAATGAAACCTAGTTATGCTGTAAAGCCCGCAAAGCATCTTTAGGCTATATCTTCATTTAATGATAAATACCATAGTTTTTGGCTTTTCTTTGCACATAGACTCTTGATACATTAAGAATGACTGAAATAATAATTTGAGTAATAATTAATGTGTATTTGTTACTTTATAGATTTAATAGATATTTGTTGTTACCTTATTAACGTTTTTATGCTTATACTGTGAGGTAAAAACAGCTGCTTCTATGATATTTTCTGGTTT